GTAGCAGAATATATTATAGATTTAAAAACTGTCACCACCTCAAAGTTGGTGCCATAGTGTAGAAACCCTATTTCAATATTGTGAATGTTATTCACAACTCATGTTGCCCTAAGGTGAACACTTTTGACCTTAAGTGAACCAGGGCTAAGAGCAGTCAGTCAATATAGGGAGTTTGTAGCAAGCACTTGATAGAGTCACTTAATATAGTCAGTTGAGTTAGTTGTTTAAAGAAGTTGGTTATAGATTGGTTACTAAGTTGTCATTATATTCGCCATATTTCTATAGAGGATTAATACTGGTCATTCCTGAATTGAATTGTGTATCATATTCAATATGTGGTGTTATTACTTAAATTAAACTTATTTGTGTCTGCTACATCCAGTGTCATTTCCTTATTCTGTGAATTATAATATGAACCCAATGTCACCACCACGCCTACATAGATAAACCGACAATAATATCACAGCATCAAACCATAACCACAGTGACATTTATGATGTCAAAAATAAAGCGGTGACAAAAACTAAATTTATATATAATACAATGATCATGCGGCCGCAGTTGAGCCCTCACTATCATAGGCTCCGCGCGAATTCTAGGTGTAAATTATTAAAATAACCACTTAAATTTATTATTAAAGGGTTTCTGGAATTCTCCCGAAATTGTCAAATATATAAAAAAACAAAAACATGAACATCTCCTGAAATTTTTAAAATCTTCTGAAAACTGATGCAAATCTTCTTAAAAGCAGACAAAAATTGGACTTTAGGGGTGTCATTCAATATGGAAAACCAATCCTACAACCATATAAAAAAAACGGCATTGTCAGCTTTCATTTAATGAAAATGTAACAATAAGGTGAATTTTAACCAAAACAAGAAGCTCAAATACTTAATTTACTTTAATAGTAACTGGCATACAAATATAGATCTAACTCTATCTCGACCTCTTAGAAAAACATCCAAAGCGATATTTTGCTAGTCGATAGTAAATCTAAAGGCAAATCTGAATGTTTGTCGGCTTTTTGTTGGAAAACTACCATCTACTGTAGATGGCTCGTAAACTTAATTTGACAATGATTTTGTACTTAGTAAAGAATGAATAAAATGCAAAGATGAATTTATTTTCTAACACAAAATCTTATTTTTCACTTATTATCCTTATCGCAACCCAGAATAGACCTCGCGTTATCCGTTCCGCATAGAGCTCCGCAAACTGTAGGACCGGCCCTGACAATGATTAAGATAACTTTAGAGAAGTCTAGAGAACGGCAGAGGGGGTAGGGAAAACGCCAGGCCGGTCACTTTAATTTTTAAGGGATTCAAAATATTCAAAATATATAATGCATGATTGATAATTTATCTACTAAAAAAAAACAATATCTCAAAAAATTAAAACATTTTTAGCCTTTTATGACAAGATTTAAAACATTTGGCTCGAAAAGTGATTTGTTTTATTAGAAATGAAAAGTTTTGCTTAGAGACACTGACGTGATTCTGAAAAACAAGATTAGGATTTGAAGTGTAACAATTAACAATTATATTTGTTAGCCTCAAAGAAAAAAAATGCTACAAAGGCAGTCAAAAGTACAAATAATAACAATATACACATAATAAAAATGAAAATAAATGAAAAGTTATGATAATGAAATTGGTAAATTAATAATTTATATATATATATATATATATATATATATATATATATATATATATATATACATATATAGTGTTACGTTCTTCTCTACCAGGCCTTCTGTAAACACTGCTAAACACAACACAGCACATCTAACACAAGAACTTGACAACAAGAGTTTCCAATAACAATGTGTTCGTTTAATGACAAATATATCAACAGCCAATACAACACTATTGGCTACACCACATTCAAAGGACCTCATTCACCAATCGTAAACAAACAACATTTAGTCACGTGATCTTATTGATAAAACAATGAAAAAAAACTGTCACGTGACAACCATCATGAATTAAACATGAGATCGTAAATTATATAGAAGAGATATGGCACCACGTGGCTAAATGTTGTTTGCTTACGGTTGGGGAATGAGGTCCATTGCTTTAACACAATAGAACTGCCTAACTAACACTACAAGTTTCTCTCTGTCTACTTCTAGACTCGTACAGCTACATTCTCAAGGACTCACATTGTAGCACACTGTCCTTACTGCCCTTCTGTCCTGGACTCAACTGTCCTTTCTCGCACACTGTCTCTCGTCCGTGAAGACTTTCGATCACATGGCCCTAACACGGGTCATAATTGCGTGTACTAGCAGTACTGTCCTTTGTCTATCGACAGTCGTTGACCTGTGCAGGTTTATTCAAATGTACGTGTGTCAGTGTCAAACTAAAGCAGTTTCTTGTGAGGATGTCAACTGTTTTTGTAGGCTTTAAAGAGGTCACAATACTGAGATCCTTGCGCGATCAGGTATTCCCAGCATCTTTAAGTCCCTCAGACAACGCCGTTTGCGCTGGCTTGGACATGTTCGCCGGATGGAGGACAAGCGCATCCCGAAAGTCATACTCTATGGTCAACTCGCGACTGGCACAAGAAAAACTGGTCGCCCCCATCTCCGTTACATAGATGTAATAAAACGTGACCTCAAATCAGTGAACATCAATACTAACAATGGGAAGACATAGCTCTAGACCGCAACAGATGGAGAGAGTGACCAAGAAAGCTATGGACAGTGAAAGTACACGGGTCTCAGCTAAGGAAGAAAAACGTACAATCCGAAAAACGGCCAGCTCCTCTACCACCGAAGCGAAAGCCACCTTAACCTGCGCTATCTGTGGACGGGAGTGTCTCTCCAAAATAATGCTCCACAGCCACATGAGAAGGTGTGCTCTGAGATGAACCAGAGTCGTTCTACGACTGAAGGAGGCCAATGATGAAAGAGGTCACATATAAAACAATGTGACTCAAATATAGCTCACACATTTTAAAATGACCGTATGATGTTATTTAGACAAGTTAATTCAAGTAAAATTCTCTGATGAATTAAGTATTGAAACATTTTATTCTTAAATATTTGATCATTTATAAATTCGACATATTCTTACTCATACTTTAGTTCCAGATCCCTGCAATTGTCCGAGCCTAGGACCTGGCATCGGTATAGGTATCGCCATTGGTGTGGTCAGTATTGTCTTAGTCGACGTAGCAATCTACTTCATATTTATCAAGAGAAGACAACCTCCAGCCACTGCGAATGATCCCGTAGATAAGACGCAAGGGACGCAACTACAACAATATGACTCCTTGAAAGAAAATACTCAATATAAACCACACTATGAAACGGTCGATCCTATAGGTAATTTTATATGTAATTGTATTAGATACAAATGTTAATATTATTATCTCAAAGGCTTTGGCACTTTTCTGATGTCTTCCTGTATACTTTAACTATAAGATATATCATTTTTTATTAGTCTGAAGGGATCATTTAAACCATTTATAGTTCCATAGTGGTATCATTTTCAAAGAACATCGAAAGGTAATACCTAGAAAGAAACACTTTTAAGCTTTTGTATTTTGTTTCCAAATCTACAGTGTAAATTTAAACTTCTATAGTTTCAATTTTTAAAAAAGTATAGATTGCTTTAATAAAAATATGATTATTTCAAGAATGAAATAAAATAAATTCTCCAGTCTCTTATTAAGATTAAAAAAAACAAAAATAAAACAAAGAAAAAACATCCTTATTTATTAGACACAAGAGTAAAAGTAGACTTGACTTCCCTTTTCAGACCCTGCGGTCTATAGGGCAGTTGATGTAAAGGTCATCTGTTTCTTTGGCCAACGGTTAACGAGCAAGGTGTCATGTGGCCAGCACAACGACTAAGCGCCTTAACTTTACGCCAACTAAAGTAAAGTATATCAGAGTATTGTGGACTCAGGGACATCCAGAAACTCAAAATCATAGTAGTCACTGAGATTCAATCTCAGGACTTCAGGTCCGGAAGCCAAGCGCTTAACCACTAAGCCAACGCGCTTCCCCCCCCCCCTCAAGACACACAAGTGGCTCTACTAAATATTGTTAATCTACTTATAATGATATATATCATCATTAAATATCAACTTGATACTGTATAATCTTAAATACATGCATTGCACAAACGCTGTTGAAACAATGCTGCAAATTTCGTTTCAGACATAGACAAGACTTCAGTGACTCAAGGCTCTACATCAATGAACTCTTCACCTTATGAGAACGAAATAGCCCCATATGAAAGCTACAGTCCTAAACATAAGAAGTAAACCTAAAGGGCACTAAAAATCAGCATGCTACCTCCAAACATCAAAAACACTACAATTAGTTGAGATGTATGTCAGTTGTGTTTCATGGACATATTCTCTGTTTTATACAATTCCTATCTGCTTGCAAACTCTAAATGGCTTCAAACCGGAAACTGCTTCCTTAGAAATTTGACAGTGGGGTTAAAGTAACTTCCTAACTGGCCAAACATTTTTAAAAATCTGGCTTGACATTTACATTTTTCTCAAAATATGATCATTTCAAAATCAAATTTGGCTTATGTCTTTTTATTTTGAACACGCTTTACCGGGAATAAACGCATTTTCATGCATGAATATTTTGAGCATCGTATTCTGTAGATATAATAGCTGGACATTTAATAAGAGACTTTTTTTGTCTAGTATTCATTTCAATTACTATATTGAAGCATTGTAAGAGTCTGTAGAATGAAAAGTGATAGAATAACAGAATAGTTTTATTGGAAACGTTGCAATCATGGCAGTAAATTGTGTTGTAAAGACATTATCAGAAACCTTAAGAAAAAAAAAAGTAAAGTTTCCCCTTTCAGACCTTTAAATCTATGAGCAGATGATGTTAAGGCTGTCTATTTGTCTGTTTATTTTGTCTTAAGTTAGTGTGCAGGGTGTCACGTGGCCAGCACAACTACCGCCTTTCCTTTGCTTAAGTCTTATACCCATAAGAATTGGGTTGACTCAGCGGAGCCCTAAAAATCCCGAAATTCAAAGTCCCAGTCCTTACCGTGATTCGAATCCAAGACCCCAGGTTCGGAAGCTATACTCTTGAACACTCAGCCACCACGCGCCTTATAATAAACCTTATTGTAATAACATTCATAAACATCACCATCATTATCTTTTATATCATCTTCCCTTAAATTATCGTCGTTGGACTGCTGTGACAGTTTTGCGTAGACCAAATTCCTCTTTTCCAAGGCAGCAGATGTTTTTAGCAGGATATCAGGATACTTGGCCGTCCATTGTAGTACATTGATAGGCTCGCTTTTCTGTGAATCGACCGTTTTTTGGTGCTCCCTGCACTGTACCTTCAAGAATGACTTTTAGCGTGTGTGTGTATGTTTCTTTTAGCGACTCGCTAATTATTGTTCAAGTCACACAAAAAATACTAAATATTTCCTGTCATTATAGTATCATGCAAACACATAGATTATGTAACAATGTGAATGGCAGTATTATTGTGTGCACAGTTGTACAATAGATTATATATTTGTATTAAAATTTATGAAAAATATTTTTGCATTCTTCTTTCATGTTTCCTTATTAATTGATAAGTTTTGTTAATAGCATTTGTTGAATCTTTATCATCTATCTCATTCTATCTATCTATCTTTCTCTCTCTCTCTCTCTCTATCACTCTATCTCTCTCTCTCTCTATATATATATATATGTATATATATATATACATATCTGCCCCTGCCTGTCTATCTATGTATCTATCTATGTATCTATCTATCTATCTATCTATCTATCTATCAATCTATCTATGTATCTATCTATCTATCTATCTATCTATCTATCAATCTATCTATCTATCTATCTATCTATCTATCTATCTATCAATCTATCTATCTATCTATCTATCTATTTTTATGTCTGTCTATCTGTCTATCTATCTGTCTGTCTTTTCATCTATCTATCTATCTATCTATCAATCTATCTATCAATCTATTTATCTATCTATCTATCTATCTATCTATCTATCTATCAATCTATCTATCTATCAATCTATCTATCAATCTATCTATCTATCTATCTATCTATCTTTATGTCTGTCTATCTGTCTATCTATCTGTCTTTTCATCTATCTATCTATCTATCTATCTATCTATCTATCTATCTATCAATCAATCTATCTATCAATCTATCTATCTATCTATCTATCTATCTTTATGTCTGTCTATCTGTCTATCTATCTGTCTGTCTTTTCATCTATCTATCTATCAATCTATCTATCAATCTATCTATCAATCTATCTATCAATCTATCTATCAATCTATCTATCAATCTATCTATCTATCTATCTATCTATCTATCTATCTATCAATCTATCTATCTGTCAATCTATCTATCTATCTATCTATCTTTATGTCTGTCTGTCTGTCTATCTATCTGCCTGTCTTTTTATCTATCTATCTATCAATCTATCTATCTATCTATCTATCTTTATGTCTGTCTGTCTGTCTATCTATCTGCCTGTCTTTTTATCTATCTATCTACCTATCTATCTATCTTTCTATCTATCTACCTATCTGTTTTTCTTTTAGTATGTATAAAAAAATATTAATTTACAAGATGTTTATTTACATAAAAGTTAAAAAAAATAGAAGGGAGGGTTGCATCAAATAAATTAAAATGGGGATATTTAATCAGAGAGTGTGTCACGTTTGCCTTTAAAGGTATCGGAGAGGGTGACTCGTCAAAATAGCGCGGACTTATATATGCTGTGTAAAAAAGTACCGATTTATTAGCAATTGACTGTCCTTGGCATCGTTTTTGTTGACGTCTCTATCTTTTCAATATTAATAGATCTGAGAGTATGCCCTAGTTGCAGTGAACGAGAGTACTTTAAATTTGATATTATTCCCCTTTGATTAAAATGCATAACTTGCTAAAAATAGGATTTTGAAATGTGGTGACCCGACAAAATAGGATAGGAGACTTAGAAAGTGTGTTATATTATAATCAGAAATCTGCGGCATATTTCTTTGATCAAAAGAGCGTCTTTTGCCACAACATTGGCAAACCTAGGTGTGTCAGGATTAGTTAAGATGGCGATCACATTTCTTATCTCTCCAAACGTGTGTTAATCTCAGGCAGTGACTGACCAATTCAATCACGGATTTAGCTATTTCCTGTAAGTCTTTGTCTAACACCATCAAATAGATGGGAGTGTCCATTTGGATTGTAGGCCTGAATCAACTTCCTGTCTCTCCTATCTTATGATGTTTGACAAAAAATTTGACTGAAAAATTATGATAACATTAAAACACAAAAAAATATTGGCTCTATTCATATTTTACGATATCTAAAGTTGTTTTTATTCAAAATGACCAAAATATTTTTTTTCGGCGCTATTTTGTTCGCGGAATTTTGAAGTGTTACCATCAGAGAGTCCTAGCGACCTCGTTACTGGCTGTGCCCCTTGGTGGAAGGCTCTAGAAGGTCGCCATTGACTCAGTATTTGTGTTGGAGTGTTAATCTCAAGTCATTTGGGTCGGATGTGGGCACAGTAGTGCTGGTGGCAGGCTACCATGGGCACGAAAAGTACTGCGGACACAGCTGATCTACCATAGGCAGTATCATCAATAGGAAGCAGTAAGTTGCCAATGTAGAGGTGGTCGTAGTGGTAATACTATCAAGTAGTAGTAGTGGCTAGTATACGCAAAGAGGCAAAGAGGCATCAAGTAGGTGGAAACCCGAGGGAGGCTGCGAATAAAGTACGAATCATCCTATTGATCGTTGGAAAGGCTTTTATCCAACAAGCAGGTATGGATCGGGGGCTCTTCACCCTAAGTCCTGTCAACTATGGACCGCGATTAGGGATCATACTGTGCACACAACGCACTGTATCTCGCCTTTGTCCATGTCCCGCTCGCTATAAATGGCTAACCATTAAAATTTTGTCTCAAAGTCCAGTACTGTAACCGTCACTGTTTCGTATAAGGGTCGCCACTCCAGCTTACTGAACATTAATGTCTATCCCTGCTTGAAACGGCCTGAAGGACTTTTTTTAGACAAAATAAACAGGCTATCTGTTCCTTCCCCACCCCAAGTGAGATAAACAAAAACGCTCGCCCAAGGTAACACGAAAGAGGCCTTATTCGCCTCCCGTATTTCACAACTAGATTAGTTTTCTATGGAGGCACCTTTTTGAATCGTCCGTGAAGTGTGCCTAGAAAGAAGAGGCAGGAAGATGTACCTGGCAAAGACCAGTGTGGGTCGAAGATAATCGCGTTACAAGAAAATACTCGTTTTCAATACGGCGCCATGTGCTATGAAACTAAAAGGTTAGTTGTTATTTTCTTAACCGTCCACATGGAGAACATTTTTATCACAGTGATGGGGAAACATTTTATCACAGTGATGGGGAAACATTTTATCACAGTGATGGGGAAACATTTTATCACAGTGATGAGGAAACATTTTATCACAGTGATGGGGAAACATTTTTATCACAGTGATGGGGAAACATTTTATCACAGTGATGGGGAAACATTTTATCACAGTGATGAGGAAGCATTTTATCACAGTGATAGGGAAACATTTTATCACAGTAATGGGGAAACATTTTATCACAGTGATGGGGAAACATTTTATCACAGCGATGGGGAAACATTTTATCACAGTGATGAGGAAACATTTTATCACTGTGCTTGGAAAACATTTATCACAGAGATGGGGAAACATTTTATCACAGTGATGGGAAACATTTTATCACTGTGATAGGGAAACATTTTATCACAGTGATGGGTAAACATTTTATCGCAGTGATAGGGGAACATTTTATCACAGTGATGGGGGAACATTTTATCACAGTGATGGGGGAAATACATTGCGTTTTATAAGAGGCACAATTTTGCCCAATCAGAGGAATTCGACGGACATATGGTAGATGTGCTAGTGTGATGATATATGTTTGAGTACCAGATACACAATTAATTTTGTAAATTTATGCAGCACAGTTGTAAATATATTTTAATAGCCAAAGACAGTTTCTAAATTCTGAAACAAAATTCGTGATGAAAAAGTATAAAAGTATAAACCTAAACCTGAAGAATCCTTTATTAAATGTTCCCCTTTCAGATCTTTTGGTCTATAGGGCAGATGTTGTAAAGGTCAACTGTTTCTGTGGCCTACGGTTAACAAGGGTGTCATGTGGCCAGCACAATGACCAACCGCCTTTAATTTTCCCTAGCTAATGTCAGGAACCCATATGAGCTGGGTGGACTCAGAGGCGTCCAAAGATCCCGAGATTAAAAATCCGATGTCTTCACCAGGATTTGAACCCCGGTTCGGAAGCCAAGCGCTTTACCGCTCAGCCACCGCGCCACCCCAAAAAAAAAATGAATTCTGAGACTAGGAATCCCTAGTACAATCCAATCCAATTTAAACTCTTTTACTCTTGTCGTTACTCTATTTCAAGACTGAATATCCGTCCTTTAAATACTAACTCTTTTCTCCTTTTGTAGTAACCATTGTACTATTTTTAGAGCGTATGAAAATGCCATTATCGTTTGGAATAAATTTATCATTACTAGTCAGCAACATACAACCATGACATTGCGCTGCAAATAATCTAAAAATAAACTAAATGCAACAGCTGCTGTACGTTTCGTGACAACTAGGTATAAAAAGGTCATGGCAATGATCATCCTGTTGCTTTAGAGTTACGCCACACTAATTAATTTTATTTCTCAAAAAAAAATGTAACAAATGAGCTTTTGCATTTTCCTGAATTATTAAAATTAAAACAGAATAGATTCATTTAACGTATAAGTACTTCAAAACAGAATGAAACAAAATGAGCAAAACAGAATGAAACAAAATGAGCAAAACAGAATGAAACAAAATGAGCAAAACAGAATGAAACAAAATGAGTAAAACAGAATGAAACAAAATGAGCAAAACAGAATGAAACAAAATGAGCAAAACAGAATGAAACAAAATGAGCAAAACAGAATGAAACAAAATGAGCAAAACAGAATGAAACAAAATGAGCAAAACAGAATGAAACAAAATGAGCAAAACAGAATGAAACAAAATGAGCAAAACAGAATGAAACAAAATGAGCAAAACAGAATGAAACAAAATGAGCAAAACAGAATGAAACAAAATGAGCAAAACAGAATGAAACAAAATGAGCAAAACAAAATGAAACAAAATGAGCAAAACAGAATGAAACAAAATGAGCAAAACAGAATGAAACAAAATGAGCAAAACAGAATGAAACAAAATGAGCAAAACAGATTGAAACAAAATGAGCAAAACAGAATGAAACAAAATGAGCAAAACAGATTGAAACAAAATGAGCAAACAGAATGAAACAAAATGAGCCTAAAAAAAACAAGTCTCCGTCTTCTACCCTTACGAGATTTAGGATCAACGCTTTTAATAAACAGTCCAAAGTACTTCAGACATACACTGAATTACGAAAACGGTTGCTATTTTAAGCTTATTTCATTTAACATGCAACTTTTTAAAGTGTTATTTGAAAGGAATGATCTATTCAA